CGGCGATCGAGTGCTTATATTTGCTTTGAGTCTTTAATTTGAGCTCATTGTCAGGACACCGCTATACAAATATAACTAACCTATCTAGCTTCCCGCCCACAGGAGTGCACACCTCAATCATATGCTGCTCTTCCAGGGACCAACTGCTTCTCTGACCCACACCTGCTAGTACTGAGTTTGGTATGAACTCCTGCTAGCTGCGTATCTCATGCCACATAGACTACAAAACGCAATGTTGGCCCTATTTCTTTTTTTTTACTTGTCACCTGCATACACTTCTGAACGACTTAACACTTCAGTCTCATCAGTGTCCTCACTGACAAGCTTCAGTTTATAATCATTATAGCTTTTGCCGCATCTCTAACCCCATCAGTGTCGTTACGTAATCGTTCTCTTTATCTTCATCCGGCTACACTTATCATCCGAGAAACTCAATACAACCAGCACTCGCAACTATCACCCCACTCCGAAATGTCAATTTATTCCCCCTGAACTTTTCGACACAATACAGGGTGTCCGCAAAGTTGGGGTTGTCCTTTTCAGAAACAACTACCCTTGAAATAACAAAGGTAAGTGTAGTGAAGCGAGGGCGACCAAGTAAAAAAAATAAAGGAAAAAGTACTCACTCTCCAGTTGACTAGAAGGGCTAAGTACGTCTCTGCCCGAAATCATACCGCTCCAACAGAAAATGAAATCAGCTGATGCGCTACCGAGCAGACGCAGGCGGTTGTGCAGACCACGACAGAGGTAACAAATATGACGGCGTTGCCACGTTTTCAGTTTTAGGTAATCATATTTTATAGGTATTGTTCGAAGTTATCGCCGTTTGATGCAAAAACACAGGTGCGTGCACGACGTAGCCAAGCATCGGTGCAGGCTTTGAGAATGAGTCCCTCCCCCGAATGAAAGCACCAGCTAGTTCAATTCTGAGACGAAGTTCGTCAACCGTATGCGCTTCAGTTTTGTACACTAAGCGTTTCATTTCTCCCCAAAGAAAAAATCACATGGTGTTAAGTCTGGAGATCACGGAGGCCATGCTACGGGTCCATTACGCCCGATCACCTATTCGGAAATAATTCATTCAAAAACTCACGCACTTCGCGTCTAAAATGGAGCGGTGCACCATCGTGCAGAAACCACATTGATTGTCTTACACTTAATGGCACATCTTCTAACAAGGAAGGCAAAATGTTGCGTAAAAAGTCTAGGTATTCCATCCCGTCCAATCGATTGGGAGAATAAATGGTCCAATGAGCATACCGTTCACCATGCCAGCCCAAACATTCACCGAAAATGTTTGTTGAAAATGTGCCCGACGGACAGCGTGCGGATTTTCTACTGACCAAACATGAGTGTTGCGAAGTTATTCACCCCATTACGCGTGAACGTAGATTCGTCTTTCACCAATATGCACTTCAAAAAGTCCGGATCATTGTCATGTTAATTCAACAACCACTCACAAAACCGCACTCTTGCTGGAAAATCGTCAGGTTGAAGGGCTTGTACACGTTGGACAGCCCCTCTTCACGTAGCGTTTTCCACACTTTAGTTTTTGATACTTGCACTTCTCTAGCCACGTCTCTAGTGCTTGTTGAGGGATTCTCGTCTACGCGATTCAGTAGTTCTTCCTCAACTTGCACCATTCGTGGTTGTCTAGGCCTCCCACTGTGCCCACCTCGAAATTCCTCCAAATGGCCCGTATCCCTGACTCTCTGGAGCAGGTACACAAATCTGCGGGGCCTTGGATGATGTCGTCTAGGGAAACGATCTGCATACACTCGCGAAGCCTCTGTAGCATTTTGAAGACATTCGCCCTAAATTAACAACATATCAACGAGTTCATTATTGGTGTATGAGTGTGCCATTATTATTTTTTTTAAACGCAATGATTATACGGGTTCGTTTACCTCTACACTCGTGACCGTAACCGTCGTGAAGGTTGCATACTGACCTGACACACTGACACCGACCCAGTTCTGTCGTCGGGTGAGCCAGTGACCATGTACCACTCGGTGATGTCGCGGGTCGCGGCTACAGGACGGTATTCAGATATTTTTGATGTTGCAGAGCCCTTTATCTCGGTTCCCTTAAGACATTCTTGTATATGGTAATAAGAAAAATTGATTATGTTTTTCAAGATCTACACGTCGTGTAAAGGAACCCCAACTTTGCGGACACCCTGTATACATAATTTAGAGTTCTATCCCACTTCTGATGTTATAAACCGAAAAGTACTCGAATAACAACCATTTCTCCGTTACGTCTCTCTAGCCGCTTGACTTAGCAGAACCAAAAACAGATGCCTTCGATCCATCCCCAAATATCCAAACCATAATCGTTAATGTTTATTACCACATCATAGGCGGAAATGTCGGTAACAGGATACTAACTATTCGTCATTGAATCTTAGTTCTTAGTTAAAAGCCTTGTCAATCTGTTAGTCTCAGATCTTGTCACGGGACCTGGTTACCTAAATACCAAGGAGAAAGGGAAAGAAAGGGGGAAAGGAATAGAGCAAAGCAAAGAAGCAAACCAGTTGAAGTGGAAAAAGCTTAATCATTATTAATTTGACTACTGAATAATTTTGTTATTCTAAGAAATAATTTTAATCGGTCTCTGTAGTCTACTGACTCACACAATAGAGGGTTGCCCCTTGATTATAACGCCGCTGTGTCAATTCCTTAGGCCCGTATCGTCAGTCGTCCCTACAATTGTAGGGCGCCTTTATGGCCTACTTCTCAGTGTCAGAACTCTATTTTGAGGTTATGTCACAAACATCTATTTGCATCAAATTGTGCTTGCTTTGAGTTATATCATGTTTTATCAGCCTGAATTTCCTACAATTTAAAAAGAAAACATATCTTCACAAAAGGAGAGCGCTGACGCTGACACGGTACAAGTGTAATCTAGAAATTTTTGAAGGAGAGAAAGGAGTATGACAATCAAGGAAGCTATAAACGCGCCCTACAATTTTAGGGACGACTGACGATACGGGCCTTAGATACGGATGTCAAGATTTCTGTGAATGGTCTCATTTGATACGTACCATGCGGCGTTGGTGAATGTGAGTAGACTCTGTTTTGCAGGTCTTGGTGTCTCCGCATGTGGGTCTTGGCGAGAGGAAGCACCAAGTCGCGCATGCGTAGGTGATTGCGTGTCTAATGACCATTTTATATAACCAACTCTTGTTCGTCAGACTTAAGTTTGAATTTCTGGACAACAAAGGATGAAGCTGCCGAAAGTAAATTGGAATTTTGTTTTCAAAGTTTCAATGTATTTCTTCCAGGTCAAGCCCTTGTCAATAATGACTCCAAGGTACCTGACAGATTGTTCCCATGGTATATGAGTTCGATTCACTGAGATCTCTGCCATGGCACCGCGACGTTTTTTGGTACAATAGGTTTTCTGCGTTTCCGAATGATTAATTTTGATCAGCCACCTGTCCTCCACTCCAATACTTCTCCACTGCGTTTTGCAGCCTGTCGTGAACTAGTGCCGTATCGTCAGCATAGATATGAATAAAGGATTGGCCTTAGGATCGAACCCTGCAGAACACCGGTTCTTCTGAACAAAATGATCCGAAATTTCCTTCCTTCTAGAAAGGATTTCAACAATTTTTGAAGCTAAAGAGAAATCCTTTTTGGGTGAGGTTATGCTAGAGGTCCATGTTCCACTACTTGTCAAATGCCTTTGATACATCTAAAAGCAAGATACCAGGTGGCCATGAATCACCTTTTGAGCGAGCTTAGAAGAACTCTGACATTTTTTGGGATCATGATGACTTCAGCGATCTTCTACGCCTTAGAAAAGTACTGAACTGTGACCAGTGCAATGATTATTGCCACCAGATAAGACAAAACCTTCAGCGCAAGCAACACGTGTTTACCTTGCCGATATGAATCACAAAATTAGGAATACTTTAAAGTGTGGCATCAATTTTAATGTTGTATGATTCATCTTAGTTGCAAAATTTTCTGCACCTCAAGCTCTTTAGTTTGTACTTTGGGATGTCAGGTGAAAATTAGTAAAAAGCGATTTTTCAACAAAGCAATTTATGTCACAATCACATTATTTGTAATATAATACAAATCACAACAGTCCTTTTTAGCTCGGAGATGACAACATAATGTCCCTAACAAAAATGTATCACCTTAGGAATTATCCACAAAACTGAGAACAAAGTTTTTTCTTTAGCCTCATCCAAATGTTCAAAATGTGCACTCGCGTAAGGGACAAACTAGGGCCTATACAGGGTGACAGGTAAATAGGTGTAAAACATTTGAGGAGGTGATATTACAGCCCCTTTGCTATCGAAAATTAGTATATAATACCATACCCTATAAGCAAAGGTTGAAAAGTTATTGAATATTTAAGATTTTTTTAAAAACAATTCATATTTCAGAGTAAAAAAGTCGAGAGAGAAAAAAGTTGGCGTATTTAAACATTTGTTTTTTGTGGTTTTGGGTTATTATTTCAATAATTAACTATTATAAATTAAAAAAGATTAGAAAACAATACCAAACAACGTATTTATTTCATTCAAAAATGTTTAACTAAGAAAAACAAATAACGTTTTACAGTAAGTAAGGTGTTTTACAAAAAAATCAGTATACAAAAAAACGTACAAACAATTTAAATATATCCTTGTTTCATAAGGAATCTAAATTGGTATGATAAGTGCACAAAAACTGTGTGAAACTAAACATAATGTATTGTAATACAACAATAGGGAGTAAATTTACCAATGGCTTGTCTCCTATTTTCACAACTCTCTGATTGATAAGAACTGTTTTTGTGAAATAATGTAACTGTAAGCTATGGGATAGTTATTATTTTAAACTACGGTTAAGTTACACGATTAGATTATTTACACAGTTGTAATTGTACTACAGAATAATAAAAACTGACTAAAAGTTACTACAATTGGTAAGTAAAATAAAATAATGAAATTGAAGGTAAAATTCATTGCAATTGTTGTTCGAACTGACGCCCGCCGCTTCTTATGCAAGCCCGTAGTCTTTTTTCTCATGTTGGTACGCGTGATGCGGCCAGTTAGTTGTCCTCTGATAGTGTCAGCAGCAGCAATAATTCTTTCTTTCAACTGTGCAAGAGTGTCTATGGGCTCAGCGTACACCAGTGACTTCATGTGCTCCCATAAATAATAGTCACACGGTGTTAAATCTGGGCTCCTCGCTGGCCACGGTGTCGGTCCACCTCGGCCAATCCAGCGACAAGGATATTTCCAGCCACTGTCTAACACCCAGACGGAAATGCGCGGGACAGCCATCGTGTTGGTAGATCATCTGCATCCTGATATTCAGAGGCAGGCCTTCGAGATACTCCCAGAGTTCGGATCTCAAAAAGTTTTCATAGGATTCGCCATTCAGGTTGTCAGGCAAAAAAACTGGTCCAATTAGATACGTATGAATGATTCCCATCCACACGTTTGCCGAAAATCTTCTTTGATGGACTCTTGGCTTTGCCATGTGGGGGTTTTCCTCTCGTGGGGCCCAATAATGTAAGTTGTGATAATTTGTTGTCCGCTCTCTGTCAAACTTAGACTCGTCGGTCCACAATATTTTAGTTAAATAGTCGTTTTCTTCTTGATCCCGATGAAGCATGTATCGACAAAAATCAATTCTTCTTGCGGGATCTCCTTCTTCTAATACTTGAACCGGTGTGTAATGGAAAGCGTAAAGTCTCGCCGAATGCAAAACGAACCAAACTTTCCACTGAGTTAAACCAAGCTTCTTTGCTTATAACTCGTGTAGACGTCGTCGGGTCTCTGCCGTAGCATTCCAGTATTGCCTCTCGATCTTCGTCGTCAAACAACCGAGGTCTACCAGCATCATGACGTCTCTCATGAACCTGTCCACTTTCCTTGACGCGTGGTACACAGAAGCAAATACTCGATGACTCGGTATTCGCCGATTCGGAAAACGGTTTTGGTATTCTCGCCTGGCTCAACGGAATTTCCATCACTTAAACCATAACAAAACAGAATATCAGCGTATTCTTCGTTACGGTAGTACGTACGTTTCCAGTAGTGTTTTCATATGTTTTTTAATTTATGAGAATTATTTATTTAAATAATAACCTGAAACCACCAAAAAAATAATGTTTAATCACCAACTTTTTTTTATCTCAACTATTTTACTCTGTAATCTCGGTTGTTTTTTAAAAAAAATTAAATCTTCCATAACTTTTCAACCTTTGAATATAGGGTATGGTATTATATACTAATTTTGATAGCAAAGGAGCTGTACTATCACCTCCTAAAATGTTTTACACCTATTTACCTGTCACCCTGTATCTCGCATGACATGAGTAGAAGGAGGAGCTTTCTCCTCTTACACAGCTCAAGCGTCCATTAAGAGCTCATTTCGCTCTCACAATATCCACTAGCCAATTGTCTTTGGAACAGTCAATATAAAACTAGAAATCACAGCACTCCCCAATCTTGCTTGATCAAATCCGCCCCTTTTTCGCCAACAACATACGCGGGTTCAGCAGTATGGGCTGTCACAGGTAGAGGGATGACACTGGTGTCAATCACGCGCAGGCTTTTGATTCCGTAGACTCGGAGTCTTGAGTCAACGACGGCTTCCTTATCTTCAGGCGGGCCCATTTTGCAGGTGGACACTGGTGATATAGGCTGCCGATGAGGCTTCGTAAGCTACACTCCCAGTAATCGTCTGAATTGAAGGTATGCTGTTCACAACCTGTAAATATACTAAGTGACATAAATCCGAACACCCAGTTTTAAATGGTTTTATTTTAATAAAAGTTGGTGAATGTATTATCTTACTGTAAATAACAAGTGCAAAAAAGGTTCAGCCTTATCAGTTGGACATTCCGGTTTTAATACTGCTTTTTTTTTTAATTCACTAACGCTCTAAAAATGAATATTTCAGCCGCAGTAAAAAATCAACGTTGGCGGATTTTGGTTCTTGACATCCTTTACGATCGGTACCGATGCCTACAGTACGGAGACCTGTACGATTTCGAATAGTGGGACTCCGGGAAGCTGGACTTTCTTTTCGGGCAACTGTGGTTAGGTGTTGTCAGGCATGGCTTCGAGAAGGCCGTACGCAAAGAGCAAGGGACACTGGACGCCGCCGTAGAACAACAGACCGTGAAGATCGCCGCCTACGATTATTGGCCTTAAGGGACCGTTTCTCCACTACCAGGTCTATTGCAAATGAATGGTTTGCAGAACACGGAAGACCTATTGGCATGCGAAGTGTTTACTGACGAATGAGAAGTTTTGGCTTGTTTTCATACCGGCCACACTGGCTCCTCCCTTTAACTCGAGAACACCGACGTAATCGCCTTGAGTGGTGCAGACAACGGTCACTCTGGGATCAGGAATGGAACAGTATTATCTTTAGTGACGTGTCTCGATTTTGTTTAGGCATGCACGATGGTCGTGCCAGGGTTAGAAGGCGACGTGGTGAAAGGAGGAATCCACAGTTTTTTGTTGAAAGACATGTTCATCACACTGTTGGAGTTATGGTTTGGGGTGCTATAGCTTATGGTTCCAGGTCACCTTTAATCTTCATCAGAGGTAACATGAACGCGCAGCGTTATATCCACGAAGTTCTAGAACCCCATCTTTTACCCTATCTTGACACCCTGGCAGATCCAACTTTCCAACAAGATAATGCCCGACCACATGTTGCAAGAGTCACAATAGACTTCTTTCAACATAATGATGTCACATTGTTGCCATGGCCACCAAGATCTCCCGACTTATCCCCAATTGAGCATGTGTGGGATATGATGGGTAGGAGATTGCTCAATTTGCAACGTCCTCCTCAGACTCTAGAAGCACTTCGAGAGGAGTTGGTGGTTGCCTGGAATGAGTTACCACAGGAGGACATTGACCACCTGATCAGAAGCATGCCTAGGCGCGCTGGAGAATGCGTAGAACATCAGGGTGCATCCACACATTATTAAAGGTCAAAGGGCTTTAAAGCAGTGCAATCATTTTGAAATTTTTATCATTTACTTATTATGCTTCATTAAGTACTTATACAAAATTTTATTAAAATAAAACCATTTAAACTGGGTTGTTTGGATTTATATGTCACTTAGTATAAGTTGAATACTTGATGCTAAGATAGTAGCGGCGATAGATACGAGGTCTGTAAATTAAGTGGTGAGACTGATATTTTTTAACAACTATTCAAAATTGTAGCAGAAATAATATCTTCATATATTCTATGATGGGATGTTTTGAAGAGCAAAAAAACTCACACGCCATTTCTTAACCAATGATTGGGTATATTTTCAGAATACTTCACTTTGAAGCAGAAGCCAGGGGGGCATATGCCCCACTTTAGAGCAGAATAGGAAACAAATGTTTCACAAGAAAAAACCGATACGGACAACTAAATGACTCGAGCGAGGTTCAACCTTGTACTAACCCGGATCACATGTTCCCCTGTCTCCCGTCCTAAGCCCAGCGCCTCCAGTGTTGCCAGAACGAACGCTACGTTGCGAGCCTCATCACTTAATTTTCAGACCTCGTCCATAAACAGCTACAAAGTAGGAGTTTGTTTGCAAATACCTACTTTTACTTCCTAGGTTACTAATTGCCAAGGATAAAAAAACTTTATAGTTTATATAAATCCGTCCAGTGCGGCGAAGCTAGGACAAAAGCACGCCTGAAGTACTGAATCAAATTCAAATTCAAAATATTTTATTTCGTCATGAATAAACATCATAAACAAAAGAAATTCTACATATAGAGTAATGACGATTATAAAACCGATACATTGGACCCTTTAATATAAAGAGTCCCATGCGAGAAAGCCTTGAACACCCTAAAAGTCCTTAACAAATAAACAAAACAATAAAGAAGGCAAATGAAGAGGCGGTGAAACACAAAAAGGCAAAAACGAAGAAAGAACCCCGGGAGCTGGCAACGGACGCGAAGAACAAAATCTATACAACCTGTCAGGGAGTAGGAATGTAAAAACGATATTGTTGCTCACACAAACGCTGCTAAAGTAGCTGGTGATTCTGTAACAACGTTTTTGTCAGTTTTGAGAATGTTTTTGACGATTAGCTTTTAACTGAAGTTCGTAAATTATTCCATAAGTGAACCGCCACAGAGGCAACGATCGTCGGAAGGAACGCGTCCTATGCCTAGGTACGATAAATTGAGATTATTTCTGCTTCTCTGGGACTAGGCAAAGGCACTAATCTTTCTCTTAAATAGGGCGGTTGACCTGCTTTTATAACCCTATAGATAAAAGAATACATATGATATTTTCTGCGATTCGTCATGTTTAATATGTTGTAGTTATTCAGATAAGGAGTGATATGGTTTCGATATGGAATTCCAAACGCAAATCTCATGCAACTATTTTGACCCTTTTGTATGAATTTTTTTTTTCTCGACGATAGCAAATCACCATACACGATATCTTCATAGTCAAAAAGTGATAAAATTAAGGTATTACACAAATAATATTTTTGTATGGCTGATAAATGTTTTTTTAATTTGTTTATATTTTTTAGTCGCATGTAAGCTAAATTTAATCTGTTTTTATATGACTGCCGAAGCCAAGCGAGCTATCAAATATAATGCCTAGATTTTTTGTCTCCTGAACTATGGGGATTCTGTCATTGTTAATAGAAATTACTACATTTTGTTCAAAAATGTTCTCTTTCAGTACTGTTTTTATTCATAACCATTACTTGTGATCTGAGGGGTTTAGTTTAAGATTGTGATGCTTTGCAAACATGTCAATTCTTTGGAGATCTGAATTTAGTTGTTGTTGTGCAATATGGATTGTAGTTTTATTGACAGGGAGATATATTCGTGAGTCATCTGCATATTGTTTTATCTTTCGAATTTTACCGATTTGACCATGTCAGATATGTAGATTGAAAATAGCAAAGGAGATAAAATTGAATTGAAATTGAGGAACTCCTCTTTTTATAGGTTTAAAATCGGTTTGTAATAGCAGAATCATTTGCTAACATAACACAGTTTGAACGGTTGCTTAAGTATGTTTTTATTAGATTTACGGAGTTCTGATGATATCGTTTGTGTCACAAAAAAATCTAATTTGATTATAAATATGCCTTTCTAAAATTTGGATGTAGCGGGTAATATGCTAATAGGCCCCAAGTCTGTAAATTCTTTAGGTTCTTCTATTTTTGGTAAGGGTTTAACAATAGCTTTCTAGCATATTTCTGGAAATAATCCCCCCAAAATACATGTGTTGATTATATTCAGCAAGGCATTCGTACAAAATGGGCTACATAACTTTAGGTCTCTCATAGAGAAACCATCCTCTCCAATGGCATTTGATGAGATATTAGTTACAATTTTGATTAGACTGGCCCTGTCTAACAGTTGGAAGCTAAGAGAATCGTTAATGTTTTACATTGTTTTTGTAAAAATTCATCATAGATATATTAACATGTGTATACGAAGGATGTCTTTTAAGTTTTGCTTATAGAAACATAGTAGGCCGCGCGGATCGAACGTCAGTACTGAATCTTAACCTCACTCTTAGTAAACCTAAATTCAAAGTTTCACAACAATACGTGCAGTGTTCTCACTACAGTGAATTTTTTGAGAGTCACAAAGTCAAGTAGAAAAATGGAACTCAACCGAGAACATTTTCGCGCCATAATTTATTACAACTTCAGAAACAATTATCGCGAAAAGAATGCCTTGCTGAGTTACTGTCTGTTTTCGCAACGAAGGCGCACATCAGTCGACAATTTCCCGTTGGTATGAAGAATTCAAACGTGGACGGGTGAGTCTTAGCGACAATCCCAGGGTGGGAGCACCAAAAAAAGGGCAGTCACCCAGGAAAACGTCGATGCTGTGCGCAAACTCATCATTGAAGATAGACTTGTCACATATCAACGAGATTGAGGCGTCCTTGAAGATCTCAAAAACCTCAATTCAAAAAATTTTACATGAAGAATTAGGAGTAAGAAAATTAGTTTCTCGTTGGATATCCCACCTGTTGACTGAAGAGCAGAAAGCAGCAGGGTTAATTGGTGTCATTGTTAGTGGTGATGAATCGTGGATTTACCGTTATGAACCAGAAAATAAACGACAGTCGGCTGTATGGGTGTTCCAAGGTGAAGAACAGCCAACAAAAGTCAACCGTTCTCGAAGTGTTTCGAACAAGATGGTCGCGACATTTGTGTCAAAAGCGGGTCATATAAAGAACTGTTACTGCGGATTGGTATACCACCATTTGTTTGCCAAAAGTGATCACCGAGCTTCGAAAAATCAACCCCGAAGAAGAATCATCCTCCACCTAGACAATGAAAGCTAGCACACAGCCCAAAAAACAAGGCAGTATTTAACGGAAGAAAACGTGGAATTATTGGATCATCCTCTATATAGTACCGATCTAAGTCCTAACGATTGTTTGCTTTCCCGAAAATTAAAAATAGACTGCGTGGTCAAAGGTTAAAGCCACCAGAAGAAGCAGTTGACCGTGTTGTTTTATTTCCATATGCAAAACTTAAAAGACATCCGTCGTATTGACCTCTCTGTCACAGCACGACAACGGCATTACTACATTTCTCCGATGAGATAATCCATATCACTGATGACTAATTCGGCAACACTATTGATCATTGATT